TGAGTGGAACGCTCGAGGCGATTGCTGCACCACTCCATTCATGGAGTGTTTCTTTGAGTGGGACAAGCGAGGCGAGTGCTGCGCCACTCCATTCATGGAGTGTTTCTTTGAGTGGGACAAGCGAGGCGAGTGCTGCGCCACTCCATTCATAGAGTGTTTTTTATTGAGTGGGACGAGCGGGGCGATTACTGCACCACTCCATTCAAAGAGTGTTTCTTTGAGTGGGACGAGCGAGGCGAGTGCGTCACCACTCCATTCATAGAGTGCTTCTTTGAGTGGGACGAGCGAGGCGAGTGCTGCACCACTCCTGTCTCTTATACACATCTAGATGTGTATAAGAGACAGATATAAGATTAATCCAGTTGGAACGAGATATCCAGCCACAGCCTTATCACCATATATTCCAACTAAATGTTTAACTATGAGATTTACATTTGATCGCATTACCTTGTGATATTCAACTAATCGTCTCACGATGTTAAATCAATTAATCGTTTTGCAGTGAGATATTCAACCTATGAGATATAAAATTAACCATATGCCAATGAGATATGTAACTTATTGTGTTGCAATGAGGTGTCCATCCAACCCTGCTACCATGAGCGAAAATTTGTATTTACTATGCATAAAAATTTTAGCGGAAGGATTCTAAAATTGGTGTCATAAAATTTGAGAAGCTGCGACAACAGCAAGAATAGGGGTTTGAAAAATACAGACATTTTAATAGCGTACGAGGGATATCTGTCTTTCGATAAAATCTGGAACTGTNTACCAGCCATGTGCCCATACCATACTTCATACCAGCCATGTGCCCATACCATACTTCATACCAGCCATGTGCCCATACCAAACTTCATACCAGCCATGTGCCCATACCATACTTCATACCAGCCATGTGCCCATAACATACTTCATATCATACATCATACCAGCCATGTGCCCATACCATACATCATACCAACCATTTGCCCATACCACACTTCATACCAGCCATGTGCCTATACCATACTTCACATCATACATCATACCAGCCATGTGCCCATAAGCATTAACAATAAGATAAAAGCTTTCATTTACACGGTTAGGGTCTTCATTGCATAAACTCTAATCATATTAACCCATTTAACTCGTAATACGTATAATAGAAACGAAAACTATAGAACTAAAGATCACTAATCAACTCGCAACGATCATCATGGAACCCATCCCATAACTAGCGATTACGAAACTTACTGATTACGTTTTAAGAATCAGTTTGGAAGAAATAATCAAGAAATTTAGCGTCCAGAAATTTAGCGTCCACAGGCCTGCGCAAGCCGTAAGTCTAGCAAGAGACTTTATTGGTGAGATTTGTATTGCCAGAGAATCTGGCTTTTTTGGTCGTAATTATAACATGGTTTGCGAGGAGCGATATTTCTCCAGACCCTTTAATGACTGCAAAATATTGATCATTAGGACTGCTGCCATTGCCTTGAACTCCCTTATAAACTTTTCAGGGCGAAAAATGGCTAAATTGCAAGAAAAAATGGTTTGGTGGAAATTAATTTTTTTACATTAATTTTTCTGTTCGTAGTTGGTTAAATTAGGTGAATAATTATTACCTTGATTTTAGTACAGTAGAATAATAATACGATGTCAAAAATGATTTTAATTGCTAATTAGTATGGATGCTTAGCGCTAGTATTGTGAGATTTTAATCATGATTATTGTTTACTCAGGTTAGAACATCCAAATGGCTAGAATAGAAAAAACAGCGTTCGTACGGACAAATGTCTCACAGTGCTGCCATATTGTCTCTATTTTGCACTGAAATATCCCAGATTTTCAAAAGCTCTTAAAAACCTCAAGACTGGCCCATAAATGCATTCTGGTATGCGAGAGGCATGCAGTGAACTGTTAGATAAGCAAATAAAGGAAATTAGACGACGTTTTTACGAGCACCCACGCCCCGGCTCTCACCCTCATCCGCGAAAAGTCGACTTCTGAGCGGCTCTTGGAAAAATGTCATATATCAAGAGTCAAATGTATGGGCTAAACAGCGGCTGCAATTCGCGCGAATTTTGACGCATTTCCTGACGTTTGACCTTTTCCGTCATTTTACATAAGCATATATATACTGTACAATGATTATTGAATAGAGGCAGAATATGGCAAGAAACATTGATTATATCAGAAGTGCGTGGAATGGATAGATAGATTAAAAAAACAGGCGGATAAATACTAAAAATTAAAATTTCAATGATAATTCGAATTAAAGAAAAAGTGAGGCTAATCGCAACAGCGGAAAATAGCATACCCCAACGCTTTTAAAATGGTGCAAGGAAAACTTCAGTTTGAAAGAAACCTTCGACTTTGCTTCAAGCATCAACATCAGGCGTGTAAACAGTGTATATAATACCGTTATTAGCCCGAAACATCGGAGTGCAATAACATTGTATTAAATCCGAGAACAGCCCACAACATCGGCGTGTAAACACCGTATAGAACCCGTTCGCACAGCCCTCAAACCGGGCGTGTGAAATCTTTATAAACCCGTTTGGAACCCTCAAAATTGGGCGCGCAGAGATCCGCATTAAAGTTCAGGAATGTCGGCTCGGTGCTGCGACGTTACAGTTTCTCATTCAGGTACATTCTTTCATTTTAATAACACAATACAGCCAGGCGTGGACAAAGGCAGCGTTAATCAAGTCATAAGTTTTGGAGGCTTATTTGAAAGCTGCTGAGCATCGGTCATTGGGTAGCCAACGAGATTTTTTGCTGAGGATTTGAACATGGGTTTGCTGTTCTGCCATCGTTGCGCATTTTTGATGCTGAGGGGTTAGCCAATAAATTCCATGAATGGTTATTGTCCTATTGCGAATTATAGGCTGAATTTGACAGGCCACTCAGTAGTTGATGAGCGGTCATTTCTCAACGGCTGATGGTATATTATCAGTCAAGGGCCAATACGGGCATGCGTCCGAACGAGCGAGATTGGAAAAAAGTATGAATTCACGCGAAGAAAAATGTGGCGAAAGTCTCAAAGCAAAGCGTCGATGCGGTGGAATGTTTTGTGGAAAATATTTTGTCTGGAATAAAAAGAATTTTGTGTGCCTTAATTTCCCATCAATCACAAATAGATTTTTTATGACAATTGATCGACATTTTTGCTGCTCCCTAACGGTTTTGTGAATACTCGCTTTTAGGAAAGCAGTAGCTTAAACTATCGTTAGGCATCCATGAATTATTGTTTGTAATTTGGTAATTGCAATGTATTTAATGACATTATTTTTTAATAAAAAATATTATATAAATAAATGATTAAAATAATGAAAATAAAAAATAAAGTAAAAGTGAATAAGAACAACATCCGTTCTTATGGAAATGATCGTTTCATGAATTTATCTGATTTTAATACTCAATTATAAGCATCAAGATTAAAAAAATTCCCTCAATTCCAAAAATGCTCCACAGCAGGCAATCAAAAAGTTGACTGCAATCAACAAAGAGCTCCGGAACTTCAATGAGAACTCGCATTAAAAGTTTGTATCACCGCCCAGTTAAAAAAAATCCAAGAAAACATTGCCAGGAGCTCGAATGATGAGTAAACTACAACAACCAAACGAGAAATACTGCCCAGTCGTTCACTGAACGAAGCGGGAAACTTTTGTGCAATTTATCATTTCTCCGAAACGACTGCGTATTATTGATGAAAAATTACGATGTCTGCCAATGACTTAAAGTTGGTTGCCATTCTCTGCCAATTGTTATCGTGGTGTCTTCGAGAGAATGGCAGGAAGTAACAAAGCATTGTGCGCTTAATATATATTGCGCTTAATAATATTACTCCTTTCTTTCTTTCCAGTTACTCATGAACCTTGACTACGGCGAAGAAAAACGTGTATTACATCAGCCCGATAGAACTGCATCAAACGAAAGTACTTAAGGGGAGCGTCTGGCCTCCAGAAAAACTTTTTTATTTACGGACGGATCACTTTGAAACTTGGTACACATATGTAAAACAAAAATCTAAGACTTTTTTGTTCGAGTCAATTTTCCAAAAAAATTGAAAGAAAACGTGAAATTCATAGAAAACGGCAAAAAGGGGGTCCTTAAGAAATCTTTCTCCTCCTACAGCGAATTATCTCCTATCTATTACTGAAAGAACTCCCCCCACCCGCCCTCCTTTTCATGAAGTGTCGTGTAGGTAAAAATCAACGTACAGAGATGGTAGTGGTACCGTTGGATAGGCCAGAATGTCAGCTTTAAGATGAGACTAAACACGTAACTGCAGCACAACTCAAGTAGACACTATATTTAAAGAGCTCAGCAGCTAATTAGTTCCTATCTAATTACTTAAAGAACTCCCCCACCCGCCCCCCTTTCATGAAATGTCGTGAAATCATAAATCAACGATGAGAGATGGCAGTGGTACCGTTGGATAGGGCAGAATGTCAGCTTTAAGGTGAGACTAAAAACCGGAAAAGCCAAAATTGTCGATTTGGGACCCAGACGCTCCCCTTAAGGAATCAGATCTGAGAAACGTATGATATAACATGCCCCAAAAAAACTGCACCAAACGAAAGTACTTCAGGTATAAGAGCTGAAGGAAGTTTATTGTATCAAGCCTATAAAACTGTTTGAAACGCAAGTACTGCAAGACAGAAAGTTGAAAATGTTTGTAATAACAAGCCCATAAAACTGCACCAAATGTAAGCTCTGCGTGAATGAGAGTTCAAAAAGGTGTGTTACAGCAGAAAAATAAACCTTCTTCGAACGTAAGCGCGGCATAAATGAGAGTTAAAAAACATTTATAATAGCAGGACAGTTAAGCTCACTCACAGGTATGTGCTACATGATTGAGAGTTGGAAATATAAAAGTGATTTAATGCCTAGCATGGGAACTAAACGCACCTGTTATCCAGCTTACTGCTAACAGAATAAGTCAGACCGAGCAATCCATCTTCCAGCAAAGGCTTCATTTAAACTTAAGGATGTCGTGACACTAAACTTTGTGAGAGTTACGAGCCACGCCTGACATAGCGCGACGACCACTCATGCTGCGTCATGCCGTCCGGACATGGCTGAGGGAAGGTGGCTGAGGGCCGGACATGGCTGAGGGAAGGTGGCTGAGGGCCGGGTATGACTGAGGTAAGGTGGCTGAGGGCCGGTCNTAAGATGGCTGAGGTAAGATGGCTGAGGTAAGATGGCTGAGGTAAGATGGCTGAGGTAAGATGGCTGAGGTAAGATGGCTGAGGTAAGATGGCTGAGGTAAGATGGCTGAGGTAAGATGGCTGAGGTAAGATGGCTGAGGTAAGATGGCTGAGGTAAGATGGCTGAGGTAAGATGGCTGAGGTAAGATGGCTGAGGTAAGATGGCTGAGGTAAGATGGCTGAGGTAAGATGGCTGAGGTAAGATGGCTGAGGTAAGATGGCTGAGGTAAGATGGCTGAGGTAAGATGGCTGAAGGCCGGACATGGCTGAGGTAAGATTGCTGAAGGCTGGACATGGCTGAGGTAAGATGGTTGAGGGCAGGACATGGCGGAAGGCCGGGTATGGTTGAGGATCGGTCATGGCTGATGTTGAAATCTTAGCTGGCTGAGCGCTGGCTAAACGGTTTTGTTTTATGTATAAGACAGAACGCAACCAAGAAAATGAGGTTGATAAATAATCTATCGAAGGATGAATCTAGAATTTATGATTTAATGATGATAGTAACTAAGTTGCATAGCGATCATGGTGCTATTCTACAGGCAATTAAATGAGATTTATAGTTGATAATGAATGTGTGGAATAATTAAATCAATTAAAATAAATATGTAACATATCTCTATTAAATGATGTTCGTAGGCAGTGTTTGAAAGGCATTTATAAGCATGCAGTTATTTTTTCAACGAGCGTTGATAGGGAAGTTTAACGTTTTAAAACTCAAATTAAAATCGGGCAATAATATATTTAGGCCGAAAAATAGGGAAATTTAATACCGTGATGAAACTCAAGTATAAAATGTGCAATAATATATTAAGGCCGAAAAATAATTTCGTTCTAGTATCTTCATCAAGCAATAGTGCCATTAACATTTGGTGAAAAAGATATAAGCTAAGAATTAAACAAGACTGGTAGCGAATACATAAGAAATACTTCCAAATAAATGGGAGAAAAAAACTCCATTGAAGAAACTCTTCGAGGGAAATGTCAAAAACTGACAAAAATAACATAGCAGAAAGATGTGCAGAAGGCTTTCAGGAAAAATATTTTACTTGCAGAAGAAAAATCTCATTCATTAAGAGGGATGTTTACCCGGCTCCTCGCGCGGCGGTTCTTGCAGCGGCGTAGGAGACGACGTCAGTAAATCTGCCACAGGTTATTTATGAACCGCGGATCAGCGTCGGGATCTGTGCTTGTTCTACGCGACCTTGTGGCGAATTTTGCGTCGACCCCGGCGATCTTCAAAGCTCTTACATTTTTATTCCATTGTATAATAATATAACTTAAAAATTTTCTTGAATAACTGGGATATCATTGGCCATGCGTGCAGTAATATATTTTTTTAAATAAAACTTCGAACTTGTCTTGTATAACTAGAATATCACTGGTCAAGTTCGCTCTAATGTATGATTGTTTCGATATGTCAGTGCGTATTTGTCTCCGTAAAAATAATTTTTCTATGACAAAAGGTTAGGTCGATGTTTACGAGTAACATACTTGTTCACATAGGCTCGGATATCGAGCGATTCGCTCAAATACTGTGCAATTCTTAGTAAGAAATAAATGCTCGTTGTAAAAAGCCTCTGCGTCGAGCTAAACTAAAGGCTGATGCATAATATTCTAATAATACTCAGATTTGCCGAGAATGTTTGCTGCAAACAGCCGAGCATTTCTAATAAAAATACTATATTTTTTGTCGCGTTGAATCAAGGCCCACGAATCAGCCAGTAATATATAGCGCCACGCCAGAAAAAAACAAGGTCTACATTTAATCATATCCAGTGCGAGTATTCACAAATATGATCGACCAAAATAGGTCAAAAAATAAACGTGAATATAATCGAAAACGTATAAATCACGTTAGTTGCTACTAAGAATTAGGAAAGGGATTACAATATCAAATACCGTTTTTGTAAATCGCAAGGCAATATTTTTGGTCGTAAACTTTGCATTGTTTACAGTTTTATAGAATCGGAGTACGGTTCTTAATAATAATAAAGGAACACATGCAATAGAGTCGCAGATATTTCACTTTCATCAAATTTAACCATCTTCAGGACATCTTATAAAACTTTAACGAATTTTTCATACGAAACCTACACGGAAATAGCAAAGCACAGCAATAAATCAGGAGTGGAAATGATAAAAAATGAGCGTTGGAAAATAGCACCATAAAACTTTGTCATGAATTTGCCGGAAGACAAATGTTCTGCCGGCTGTCATCTTCATGAAAAAGAACATTGCTTGCTCGCTATGCAGTTGAGCTTAGGGGGGCACTCGAACAATGTCTGCTGCTATTTCTTCTGTACACTATGAGAAATGATAGAGGTTTCGTCCAAATAACGAAACATTTTATGTTAATGTGAGTTATCCAGACTCAGCTTTGCCCGTTAAAGGGCGTATCAGTTAAACAAAGTTTGTCTCTATATAGCCTATTCATCTTTTGGGTGTCCATGTTTACAGTCGTAAGCTTGTTGAAAACTAAAGCTTGTTGAAAACTAAATTTCTATATTATTCAATATGTGATCAATTTCAAAATCAAGTTTGAAGATTAAAGAAGGCGTCATTTTTCAATAAAGAACAGATAATCAAGATGGAAAAATTTCAGACAGAAAAGCCGAAGTCTAACTCACTTTGTGTACATGTGTGTAGACTCACTTCGTGTATATGTGTGTAGACTCACTTTGTGAACTGAATTGAAACGGTTTACTAAATGTAGTTCATATTGTGAGAGGAATAAAACAGCACATAGGCATTTTACTCCACACAAACTGACGATTGTTTTATGCACCATCTAAATAAGTGAATAAGTTTTAAGATTATTATCAGTCATATATCAATGCAACTAATATTAAATTTATTACATGTGCGTAACTAAAATTTTTTTCATTTGATTTTTAGTTGGGACATAGCAGTCCCAGGCCACGATGGATCGCCGCCTCTGAATATCGTTCATCCGCCCTCATTTGGGCCACCTGATGCACGATGCTGTTGCTTGCTTCTCGCCGCTGGTAGTGTTGCAGGGGAGGTCGATCTGGGATTGTGCTCAGGAACACGTCTAGCTGTCTCTTGAAGGTCTCCAGGGTGAACTCCCCCTCTCTTAGATCCTTTGGTAGGATGTGTAAAAATGATTTAAAATTCATTGTTGATCCCTGAATGATAGATACTGTCAATTTCTAAGATTCACGAACAGAAAAAAATGTCTCCTAAAGTTGATAAAATATTATAATATAATAATGGCAGGCTAAACTTCGGTCGCCGCTGATGTTTCGCCGATCTCAAATATTTACAGCAAGGTCGGTTCGCACCCCGCTCCTCACTGCTCCAATCTTGTTATCATGACCGCTCGCTCACCCAGCCGAACATTATAATTTTTTATATCTTACTTATTCTTCAACTTCAATTTGCATTTTCTTACACCGGATCTAACGGAGCATGTTATTATAAAAAGATGACTCGTCCTAAAATTGAGGTTTTCCATTAGACAAAGAAATTGAAAGCCTGTCGTATAACACATTCTTTTTTTATTTAGGGTGATAAATTCCCGATATCTGATATTCCTGCACAGAATTCTGGCCGTGATTTAATTCTCTCGTTCTCTTAGAAAGTGTCTAGGGAGTTCAGAGGTCACAAATAATATAAATATTGCCTATGCAGAAACATAGGTTTACTTTCCATGGCATTGATATGAATTTCTAAATGAGTAGTGATAAATCTTCACAAAATTGTGTGCAGAAAACATTGATTTTGAAAAATAAAGTCGCATCAAGTTCATTACTGAAAATAAACTTATGGTATTGACACGATGAAAATGCTCAGGGTTTACTCTTTCCTATAAATTTCGTGAACGCAATCCGTACAATACGATGTATCGCAAACGTTGTTGTGGAAGCTTTTTCGTCCGTGAAATTGACGCGAGCCAAAATTCCGTACCGTACAGGCCGGCCTTAGAGGTCGCTGAAACGTACGATGTTCAAGCAAGGAACGGAGCCAAAACCCTTACGAGTTATGAGGGAAAGCTTCATGAAAAACTGACCTGGTGTGAGGGAAAATGCCGACATCAGCAGAATTCTGAGGTACTCGTCCTCACAAACAACTCTAGGACGCCTTTGACTTGATAACAGAACTTCTTTGAAGGATGGAAAATCATGAAAAATCCTATAAGTAGTGCCACGATATAAACTGAAAGTTAGGATCGAGCTGTCAAGTCATAATTTCATGAGAAACTGTAGATGCCGGACTGAAGAACAGCTAAAGGTTGACATCACTTGGAGGAAGAATAATGGACTCGAAAATTGATTTTGAATGGACTGCTTTGAGCGTCAAATTCACACGCTTATTCAGCTGTATGAGTAATGTAACCGAATGTGACTCAAATAACATTGATATTTTATTTGATGCTGGCAATCGCTGGTATTCAGAGGATTGTTTTCATTTACACTCTCGCCTCAAAACTTGAAAATCCCCAAAAATGGTCGACAAATCTTTAACAAATAATTACATTTATTCACCGTCTCATAAAAGGACAAAATTAGTTTTTCCAATTTATGGTTAATATATTATATTCTTGTGGCTAAGGGCACATTAAAACAAGCAATAAAGCCTTCTTCATCCTCGCGTTCTTCAGCCAGGCGACCATGTAACATGTTCATGCCACGCGAACAACATTGTGTATTTGTATGTAGACTCACTTTGTGTATATGGGTGTAGATTCACTTTGTGTATATGTGTGTAGACTCACGTTGTGTATATGTGTGTAGATTTACTTTGTGTATATGTGTGTAGATTTACTTTGTGTATATGTGTGTGGATTCACTTTATGTATATGTGTGTAGATTTACTTTGTGTATTTGTGTGTTGAATCACTTTATGTATATGTGTGTAGATTTACTTTATGTATATGTGTGTAGATTCACTTTGTGTATATGTGTGTAGATTTACTTTGTGTATATGTGTGTAGACTCACTTTGTGTATATTTGTGTAGATTCACTTTGTGTATTTGTGTGTAGATTCACTTTGTGTATATGTGTGTAGATCCACATTGTGCTTATGTGTGTAGACTCACTTTGCGTATTTGTGTGTAGACACACTCAAGCTTGGAGTTTCTTTGTGAGTACATTTAAACTTTCTACTATTTCTGATACATGTTCAGTATTGGACTCGAATTGAGATGAAAATTGCCACTAACGGGAAGCTGAAGTTTGAGCTATGAGACTTATGTTACAATTATGACAGAATTTCAGAAACTGATAATAAACACTTATCTGAATGGAAATCTATCATATTAAATATTAACTAACTATTTATAGAATTAGATATGTAGACACCCTTATCATATATTAATAGACAACAGATACAATATTCA